AAAGTTTTCAAAACAACATAACTTTTTTAAGTTTCATATTATTGTTTGGTAGGGATATATTAAAAGGCATTTGCTTAGTTCTCCTTTTGGTAAACGTTTTTATTTTCATTTTTGAAAAATGTTATGATAAACAAAGCTGTGTGTATTTTTATCTTTGCAAACACACTTCCAGGAAAAATCAGTTCTTAGCAGTAAAATGACCTGATCAAAGAATATGAATATTTTTAAGAATTTTGACATATGTTATCATAAAACACTCCCCAGAATGATTTTTCCAATTTGCAGACTCCTGTCAGAGACTGAGATGATCAATATCCCTAGACCTTCACCAGAAAAAATTAGTATTTTTTCCTTACCTTTGACAGTTTGATAATCTCAGCATAACTCACTATAATTTCAATTTGAATATTTGACTGCTAGCTTAAGAAATTAACTATTGTTTAATTTACTTGTAACAATGTTTTGTAGAGTACAATCATCGCTCTGTTTCTTATATTTATTGAAAATATTTTCCCCAGATTTTTTTAAATTTCAGAAATGTAAAGTTTGGGGGTTTTTTTTTTGTTTTTTTTAAAATTATTCTCGGCAGACAGTAATATACTAGTCTCAGGTGTAAATCATAGTGATTCTACATTTACACCTTATGATCTGATCGCCACAGTAAGGTCTAGTAATGTATCACCGTACAATATTCGCCGTGTTATGCATTGTATCCCTGTGTCTCGTGTATTTCATAATTGGAAGTTTGTACTTCTTATTCCCCTTCACCTTATTCACCCATCCCTCCATCTTCCTCTCTGGCAACCTTTTGCTTTCTATGTCTATGATTTTATTTCTGTTTTGTTTTTTTTCCCATTTTCTTTTTAACCTGAGCCCGCATGCACACCAGCTGCAGCCAGCCAGGCTGCCAGGGCGCCCCCTGGCGGCCCACACCCTCTTTGGCTGCCGCCCGCCTGCAGACGCCACGGGACACGCCTCATCTGCACAGAGGCCGGGCCTGCTTCAGGGTCAGGAGACGTAGCTGCTTCATTTCATTCCCTTGAGTTTTAATTTTCTATTTTTTCACAGATAACAAAGCTTTTAAAATTTATACAAATACACCAATACTTTTATTTAGATTATTGGTATTTGGTTTAATATTTACAAAAGCTTCCCCTACTCTCAATATTATCTAATTTTTTGGTCTTATTTTGTAGTGTTCTTTATGGTTTTGAACTTTTTTAAAAAAATCCTGTGATTTATGTTACTGAATTATCTGATATAGGGATATAACTTGTTTTATTCTCAAATATTAGCCACGTATCCCAAGTTTATCAAGTGACTTTTCAGTCACTGGTGTCATCATCATAATATTTAATCATTCTATTAATTGTTATACTGTTAACACATAATGTTAACGTATTGAGTAATGCTGAATCATATGACTTCATTAATTTATGTGTTAATATGAATCTTCTTTTCCTAGAGACCTTCATCTGAATTATCATGTTTTTTGTTTTGTTCTGATTTGTTGTTAGAAAACAACTTGTTTTTAATTGCACAAATAATACAGATTCATTGTAGGACAAATTAAGTACCCGGTAGAAAAAAAGGCAGGTAATAATTGCTATTAGAATTTTAGGTTAGATCCTTTCATCTCTGTTGGTGGTTGTTCTTGACATGCGTTTTTCAAAATACTATCCATCTTGATTTGTAATCTCTTTTTAAATTAACTAATAGCAGACTTTTTTCTCTACTTATCTCTATATCGCCAAGTGTAATGACTGCACAATATGACACCCCCCAAAAATGTACTGCAGTTCACTCAACCAATTACTAGCTGTCTTATATTCAGTCATTTTTCCAATGTTGTTTTGATAAACAATAACATAACATTCATATATCTAAATCTTTGGGGAAAAATGTATTTGATTACAAGAAGTTAAAGCATGAGTTTTCTGGGGAGTTCCTACCTTCTCTCCCTTCATTCTAAACAACAAACCTCAACCAAAGTCCTATTCCTAAAGCATCATTTTAAATTAATGAAAAACCTCAACAAGGTGCTCTTAAGGGTACTGCTTTGAAGAGTTCAGATACGCGCATATATATGCCTGAGTAACCACCACACAGGAGGTTCCATTCTGCCTGTGCCATTCAGAATCTGTCTACTTTGTATGCATTTTTTTCCCCCTGGATTTAGAGCAACTAAATGTTTGAGTAATGTACTTGCAAATTCATGGATGCAGAAACAGACAGAAACTAAGGCGCTGATTTAACATCAGACTTGTTTAAGTGGCAGAACCAAGGCTGGAACTACATTTTTATGAGTGTTTTCTTCCCACAGCATTGGAATTGCTTATATAATTAAATGGTCTTGTCACCAACTTAATTGGAAAACCTCAACTTAGGCAGGAGGCCCGAGGTTGACTTAATTCAGAAGATCATCCAGGGCTTGGATTATCCATTCCTTCCTCATCGTTCTCAGCAAAGGTGACTTTTGTCCTTAAACTTATGCCCTTAGGCTCCCAAGATAAGTGTAATGGCTACAGGCATCACATTCTCATCCTATAATGCCTAAGGAACCCCATTCCCCCATTGAAACAGCCGTTTCTCTTCTTTGTGCCACTTTTTAAGAATGGGGAAAATAAAAAACCTTTTCCCAGAATGCTCCTCAGCAAATATCCCCCAGGGATTACATTGCATATTCAGTCCTAAACAATCATGGGCGAGGACAGTGAAATTACAATTATTAACTTGTACATTTTTATCAAAATTTAGATCTTGAGACATTAGAAACTGACCTCTGATACTGCTAAACACTAGAAAAACAAATTTCAATTGGCAAGAATAAGGCAAGGGAGTGGCTCTGAGTAGGCACAAACTGTGTTTGTGATACAGATACCAAGATCGGAGACTGAAACAAGAGAGCATGAGTCAAAAACTATTACAGACCATACATCCTTGGAAATTGGGAAAGTAGATTACTATTGAGAGAAATAGGAAAAGAACAAAAAGATGTCATTCTTAATGGAAAGTTGATAGCTTTGGTTTGGCACAAGTTGGCCAAAGAGATGGGATTTTCACAAAGAATTGCAGGTATGTAGCTACAAAACTTTGAAGCTCACAAGAACAGCCAGAGTACAGTTTGAGTCTTAAAAAATTCTTTATGGATATGGCAGCCAATGTCATGGAAGTAAGGTTACTGAGGGTGACCCTGGAAAAGAACAAAGACTGAGCATTAGGAATCACCCCTAATTAAGAGTACAGAGATAAACATAAAGAAAGATGATGCAAGCGGAAAAATAAAAAAATACATTATTTTTAAAAAGACAATGACACTCCATTGCAGGCATAGGCTATTAGATTCAACATTGAATTATTAACATTCTCCATCTTCTTTCTTCTCTATAAGCAAATATTTTAAAATCTTCAGGTATCTCATGAAGTCGCTGCACCATCATTTATTTAATCATTCTTCTGTGTTGGCTATTTACTTAGAGTTTTTATTTTAAATTTGCTCATCTAATCTAGTTGCAGCCTTCTATTTCAAAATCTAAGCCAAGAGTTATATAGTCTCAGAGCAAGAAAATAAAGATCCTTTTTTAGCAAGACAACAGCCTTGTAAACGATGTTTAATATGGAAAGAAATGCTTTCTTTGTTATATTGAGAAATAAAGCTTGACTTCCAAGACCATATATATCCTCTCAATAAACCAAGAGAGGATACACAATGCTTAACTACAAGGATGGATTTAGGAAGAAGAAGAATGTGATGTAAAGAAAGTAAGAGGAAACCCTACCTTTGTCCTGAAATGTGGTGGAAAGATAAGAAGGCAATGAAAGAAGTAGTAATTGTTTAGATGGATGTCTCAATATTTCTTTGTTAGACCTTAACCCAAGTTAAGAGAGGTCCAAGTGTGTCATGTTGATTGAAAAAAATATTGGGGGCTCAGGAGGTGACTCTCCTCATTTGTTTCTGTACAAATATGAAGGAGACCAGCATGATTAATGGATAATGTCTTCTGGTAAAAATGAGAGGGTTTGGCTCTGTTTTGCTTGCCTGAGCTTCTCTTAATTATGACTGGCCTGGGTATCGTGTAGCAGAGTTAAGTTGACCTTATGATGTAAGCTGGAGATGGACTGGCATGGCAGGTTGCCTGGTGGAGAAAACGACATGGAACGTGGAACATCTATAACGTGAACGAGAGCTGAACCTCAATTGAGTTAGCAAAGGGAGATGATTAGGCTTTAATTAAAATGAGAAGAAATTGATTTTTGTATTATCAACCAAAGATATCAGCAATAGATGCCATCAGAATGCCCACAAGTAATGTGGTAGCTTCTGTCCAGAATGGTCATGCTCTTTAACCCTTTGTGCATTCGTAACACTCATCTATTGAAAAGTAGTTTGTAACTCTATTCCCTTGAATCTGGACTCCCTTTTGGGACTTGCTTGGCCAATAGAACCTGGTAAAAGTAATGTTCTGGGATTTCTGAAGCTAATTTATTAAGGCTTGAGGCTTCCACATTGGTCTCTTTGAACACCAGCCACAATGTTAAGAGAACACCAGCCACAATGTTAAACCCAAAGCACATGGAGAGGCCATGTGTAGGCTCCTTGTCCAGTAACCTCATCCATGGACAGAATCAACTGGCAGTCCTGTGAATGAGCCATCTTGGACATTTAGCCCATATGAGTCTATAGAATCAGGGGTGTCCAACCTTCTGGCATCTCCACCACACTAGAAGAATTGTCATCTTGGGCCACACATTAAATACATTGCAACATGTAATCACACAAAAAAATCTCATCATATTTTAAGTAAATTTACGACTTTGTGTTGGACCACATTCACAGCCCTCCTGGGTTGCATGTGGCCCATGGGCCACACAGGTTGGACACCCCTGCAAGGTGAGTCCAGCACTAGAGCTGAAACCCTAAGAGAACTGAGGGTACAACCACCCCACTAAGCCCAATCCACCCAAAAAATGGTGGTAACTATCAATTTTTGTTTTAAGTCAAGGAGTTTTGGGTTGGTTTGTAATACAGAAAATATAATTAGGGCAGATGAGATCAGTCCAAACATACCCCAATAGATAGGTGCCTGTGAAGCCCACCTTAAAGTGGCTCTGGGAGAATGGCATTTTGAACTGATCAGAACAGATACTCCACTTGATCTTAGCCAAAAGGCCAAGAAGTGGTAAGTGATGGGAATGGCATTTTGGCTGAAGGACTCTTTCACCATATAGGCAAGAGGTCATGTAAACCACTTTCTTCAATGCACTTTAGAGTAGAGCAGGAGTAGAAAAGAGGCATAAGAAAGAATGAACTTTTTTCCCCAATATTAGACACTATCCAAAATCACGTTTAAATTATTGTATTAAGCTAAATATCAGAACACATTTAATATACTAAGTGAAGTCTTATGAGATACACTAGATAATCTAGAGGCAAATAACAAAGATACATTTTATACAGGTTGCATTGTAATTCAAGTAAGCAGCACACAGTCCATCCCAGCCTGTTTTTGTCAATAAAGTTTTATTGGAATACAGCCATGTCCATCTGTTTACATATTGTCTGTAACTATTTTTGTGCAGCAACAGTTGCAACAGAGACTATATGGCCTCTAAAACCTAAAGTATTTATTCTCTGGTGCTTTAAAGCAAAAGTGTACTGACTCATACATAAAGTAAAATGTGAAACCATGACCCATACTTAGATATGAAAATATATTTGCAATTTTATTTTCAGGGCAAATTCCTAGAAGTGGAATTCCTAAATCACAGAGTTTGTGCAACATTATGGACATTCAAAGGTTTTGTTCCAAGTTCATCGCCAGAAAAGCTGTGTGTCAGTTTACATACAATCCTATATACATGGGATAGCTAAATTTTATATATACTCACCAATCTTATAACATTGAAATTTTGAGTTTTTTATTAAAAAAAGAGAAAGAACATCTCTGTACACAATTTTTATCTGTATTTATGATCACTATGTAAGATAATTCCCTATAAAAAAATATAATGTTAAAAGTATTAAATCCTTTGCTACATATTGTCAAATTAATTTTCAGAAAAGTTGTATCAATTTACACTTTATATTACATGAACTTGACATATTTATTTTACTGCCAAATATGTCAGATAACTTGAAATATTTATTTCACTTAGTAATGTCAATTAAGTTATTCATATGTTAGGCAAAAATTGTATTGTATATCTGTTTTTGATTTTCATAGAAAGCCACTTGCGGTTATTTGCCAAGTTTTATTTTTTCTTTAATTGTGTTATATAACACAAATTCAGGAATACATTTTTAAAAAATATGCATCTGAAACTGATACTGGATTTTCCATTCTATTTCTGTGTTAATCTATTTCTACACTAGTACTATTCAGAAATAATTATTATAGATTATGATATGTTTTGGCATCTGGGAAGGCTTAGCTAAAGGCTTAGCTAAAGGCTTAGATACTTCCATTGTTCTTTAAGTTTTGGTGATTCATATACATTTTCTCTTTTAGATTATCTTACAATACCCTGTCAAAGTCCCTAAAAATACTTTTGAGATGTATATTGAGATTGATTTAGTATGCTTGAAATTTCACGCCACTTTCTACTGAGATGTTTGCCATTAAAAGTTATTTTGAGTCAATTATAATTAAATAATTTTTAATATTTTTAAAGCTATAACTACCAGTAAAGTTACTTGGTACTAATACTTTTATTTTTAAATAAAATTGATCTCTTAAATTGTGATTTTTGCCTTTGTTGACATATTTTAAATGGCACTTTCTATGGTGTAGAAGTTCAATAATAATCTCACCTTAAGAGAAGAAAAAATGGTACGTTTCCTAGAATGTAAATACAAACAATAAATATAAACTATGATGTAAATGTCAAATAAATATAAACTAAAATGGAAGCTGTTATGATTTTTGAATAATAGAGCATTTATTAGAAGTGCAAAGAGTGTTTGTAAGTAATTTTGACTGCTGAAGTGGAAGTGTTCCATGGTCAGACTGCATGGCCCTCAGGCCTCATTGGTAGTCAACAGTAGGGTGGGGGCTTCATGGGTGTCCGGTGTTTCTGACTCATTTCCATGTCAACCTTGTAACGTCCTTAGAATGGAAACAGACTTCCTTTCTTGGTTCTACTATGATATCTTCAGGTTCTGTTGCAAACTTTGCTCTTTCTTATATAACAGCCGCCGCATGTATCTCTCTCCTGTATAGGCTGTTTCTATGACGTTTTTAGTTGGCATGATTCTCTTCCTATATAAAAATGTCTTTGAATTGAGTTCTAGGTCTTCTGCTGCATCCTCCACAGTCTGAGTAGAGACCTGTCTCACTTTGCAGCCAGGAGGAATGGGCAAGTCTGGAGGACTCTCCCAGGACTCCAATAGCAGGAGGCTGTGAAGCCCAGGGCAGCAGCTATTCTCAGAGTAACAGCCAATGGAAATATGAGAGCAATCATAGGGCCCGCGGTAGGCACTGTGGAAATTAGGCAATTAACCAGCAAGCGCTCATCTTAATTCTTCTTAAAATGGGACAGCCAGTAAAGATAATAGCAAGAACTGGAGAGCATTATGCTAAGTGAAATAACCCACACGGTGAAAGACAAATACCATATGATCTCACCTATAAGAGGAATCTAATGAGCAAAATAAACTAACGAACAAAATAGAACCACAGGCAGGGAAACATGGAACAGACTGACAGAGGCCAGAGGGGAGGTGAAAGGGAATAATGGTCGAAAGAAGAGGAAGGAACTAGTCGAAGAACATGTATGAATGGCCCAAGGACATGGACAACAGGGTGGGAATTGACTGTTGGGTGGGGGGAGGAGGGCAATGGGGGGGAAATTGGGACAATTGTAATAGAATAACAATTAAAAAAATGATTTTTAAAAAAAGATCCCTAAAAAACTTCCTCAAAGGCGACTCAAGGTTAAGCACAAGTCAATATTAGACTTTGAATTAAACAAAACATAAAAAAAATACAACTCACACGCCCTGCAGCTTGAGGTGCAAGGGCCCACGCCCACTGCTTCCAATGCCTTTAGCTCTAAATATTAAAAGGCTTGGTGGAAAAACGTGGAGTATCACTACTTTTCCCAATTTAAGTCAAAATTAGTGTCCTACCCTGACTCTAAGCTTTATGCTTGGGAGCTTCGTGCTATTTATTTTGGAAATGTCAGAATCCGTTTAAAGAGTGTCCCACGGGAACCTGGCCGACACTTGGGCATTTCGGTTTCCATCTCATTTGCTCCAAAGTTTCCCACGGTAGCTTTCTTTTCTTGTCTTGTCTCAGTAACTTTCTAACTCAATTTTCAGTTTGCTATGTTCTTATTCCTTTCACATTCTCTCAAGTTCTTACTCCCAGTTATTTTGCCTCTAGTTTTGTTGTCTTTCCAGGCATACCACACCAACCATGAGTGTCTTTTTTTTTTATTTTTATTTTTTAACTAGCTCATAAACTCATTAGTGGAGGCGCAGGCCTAAAAGAGTCTGACTTTCCTCCAGCAGCTGTGCCCAGCGACGCCATGGAAGCGTCTTCTGCCCGCTGGCGAATCTGTGTCCTAATAATATGGCAGGCAGATTCTATAACTATCTTGTCGCTTAGTTATTAAAAGTCAATCCAATTCAATTTAGAACTAAGTCTTGTAACTACGTCCAAGCTGCCTCTTTCGCATTGCTAGCTGCTGTTGTGCCGCAGAAGATCTGCAGTCAGCAGGGCTACGGCCACACTCTGGTGTGCATCCATGAAACAATATTTATTTGAGTTATTACTAAGTGCAAGGATTAGATTTAGGGAATTAGAATTCATCAGTCATGCTCACAGCAGGGGCTGCTATATAATTTGTGGGGCTCCGCGTAAAAATGAAATTGAAAGTCTGGCCAAGGTCTCCCTGTCTCATGAATCCACTGCACCAGCTCATCGCAGGCAGGGGCTTTCAGCCTCTGTCAAGGGATGTGCTCAGTATGTGTCTTGGGTGTGGATGAGACACCCCTGCCTCATCACCTAGTGAAACACCTTGCATTGCCGGCACAAGGCAAGAACCATGGCTGCCTTGCCTTTGAGACTCTTCTGGGCTTGCAAGGAAACCCTCCCAGCGCCCAGGGCCCCACTAGGTTGGAGGGTAATGGTGCAATGCAGGCCTCAATGCCACCCTCCCCCAGGACAAGAAAAGACTAGGCAGGGTGCAGGATTCCATGGAGCAAGAAGCAGGAAGCCTAAAGCTCATCCCAGGGAGGCGGAGGGGTAGTGGGAGTCAGGGCAGCAATAAGGTTAAGAATACAAGCTCTATTACCAGACTACCTTGAATTTTAATGCAGGTCCTCACATACCAGCTGAGTGGCCATCAGCAAGGCACTGAACCCCTCTCAGCCTGACATAAGGATGAAAATAATAATAATGTTATCAAGTTATAACCTGATAGGCTTGTTGTGAGGATAAAATGAGCTTCCACATGAATGGCTTAGTATAGCACCTAGGATGGAGGAAATGCTCTACAAACCTCATTGCTTTATTATTCTTATTGCCTCTATCACTATTAGTCACTTTCCACATATTACATCATAGTGATTCTTCAACAATTATCTTAAGCTTTTTGAAGGAGTCAACCATTTCTCACTTTCATTTGGATAATTATAGCAATCCATTTCTTCAGCAGATGTTTATTGGGAACTCTGCTAGGCACCAGAGAAACAATGATGAGCAAGATAGATATTATCTCTACTTCATGGTGCTTACAGTGCAAGAGGAGGATAATTAAAAAAGAAACTATAATCAGTATTAATAACTCTAATGGGAAACACAGCATGCTCTGAAGGCACATAGCAATGGGATCTAGCCAAGAGATGTTAATTCTGGGATGCTTCCTATAGAAAGTAATATTTAAACTGAAATGAGTAGGATTTGGCAAGGTAAACAGAAAAATGAGTGGAGGTTGACTGTAGAGAAAGTAGTCTAAGAAGAGAGATGAGATGAACAAAGTTTTATAGGTGAGGGAAAACGTGGCATATTGGGAAAACCCAAAGGAGACCACATCACTGAAAGACAAGAACAGCCTTATGAGACATTTTAATGGGTATAGACTATATCTTAAAGAAGAAACTATTGAATGATTTAACAGAGGAAGAAAAGGGTGCTATTTGCCTCATAAAAGGCTCATTCTGTCCTCTTTGTGGGGAAA